CCGTGATTTTGTTGGCTAATTGTTCCTATTCTACGCCTCACCGAGATCGGGAGCTCGGTGTATTATGTTGAATGTGCATATCGTGTGCATATCATGTGTGTGCGTGACGCCATAAGATGATAGATAACTTCTCTTTTCAATTTTGATTTGCGAGACTCCGGAAACCTCCAAGTTTCAACTTTCTGCTCCAGCCTGTCGCAATAACCTTGTCATTTTCCCCAAGACAGGAGCCGAAACTTTTCTCCTCAACACGCACACTCCTCTCCAGTACTAGCCGAGTCGGCTGTCACCGGGACCGGTAACCAGTCTCCTTGCAATATCGGTGGACGGCGGGATCCTCGGTACCTAAACAAACCCCCTGGACATTTGCGCTCCAGAGAGAAGGTTACTATACATGGAATCAACCCCTGGCAATGATGGACAATGGCAGCAAGCGAGAACGAAGAGTGGTGAATCAATTTCTTTCCCCTCTTTCGGAAATTCGGGGTCTTGGGCCCTGACAAATAATAGCCAAGGCATATTCAACCTCAGAATTAATGAACGGTAGGGATTGTTTGTTGGTTGGGGAGACTGACTAGCCAAGCAGGGTGGTAACGCGCGCCCAGAGGGCTCGTACTTGGAGAGCCAATTGGACTCTCCGTGAGGCTCAATCCCTCATATTGCCTCGTATCTCAACTCTGAATTGAGCCGCCGGCATGATTCTGGGACCACGCAATTTGAGAAGGCAGGCATGTCATTCTGCTGCAAGCCAGCCTCGCATCTCGCCCGTCCAAGGGTCTGGAAGAAACTTTCATTGAAAGAAAAATTTCCTCCCCTGTCCCTCCGCCAGGCCATCATGGTAGAAGTGGAACAGATTCCCACATTACACCGACATGGTCGTTCCAGGCATCTGGTACGCCAAACTTACCAAACGACGGCCCTTGCGTCTCGCATATCACATTGGCAAAGTGGATCTGGTTGCATGGCTTGCGCATCTGCTTCAAATCATATGATGCGGAGCTTTATGGCCCCGTCAGTGCATGGAAATATATGTAAATGCAAATATGATTGATGCCATTAGCTGCTGGTGCACCGGACCGGTCCCATGGCTGATGGGCAAACACCTTCGGAGGGGGGCAAGAGAAGGGAGAAAACGGAGCTATCATGTTTGTCTCGGGGCCAACCGTAAACTCAGAACTCGGCATAAATCACATTCGCTAGACGCCCAATTGGGTGACACGAGGGAGTGCAGAATTCACTTTTTCACTTTTAGTCGGAATAACCCGCCAGAGTGTCTTTTTTTCTCATGCCACTCGCTCGGGTCTTGTGTTCCTTTGCCTTGTTTTCGGGCTGAAGACGTGTTTCCCAATGGCCAGTAGCTATGCGGAGCTGGCTGGCGAGAGAAACGGCCTGGGGAGGGGGCAAGGACTCCATCCTGGTTGCTGGCCGACCTGACCGCTCGAGGTTCACGCCCTGGTAAACCTACTGCCGAGACATTATTCCACTACGGGGGGCTGATCGTCGAAGACCAGCCTCGACCGCGAGGGGTTTGCGGCAGTTCATCGCTCGCCCATTGACTCAGGAGACAAATATGGAGAGAGTGTGTGTTGATCATGATGTCCAAAGGTAAGAATCAGGCCGCCATTTGGGTGTGCCGCTCGCTCTCGCCCGCTTGATGTGGTCTGGCCGGCTGACTAACGGCGGGCTGACCCAAACTCAACGATCCAGGCCAAAGGGTATGGCGCAAGACGCTGCCATGCCGTGCCGTGAGGTGTCGTGCTTTGGGGCGCCGTGCATCGTCCTGGTGACCACTGCTGTGATGTGTTGTCCTGCGTTGTGTCGTGTTGTGCTCTGCCTTGCCGGAATGTGCACGTTGTGCTGTGCAGCGCTGTAGGCACCTCCTGTAGGTACAGCAGGTCACTGGGCCATAGGCGTTGTTTCCTCTTCCCACCCAGGGGATTAGGCTCCCAAGCACGGGCCTAGACAGCGAGAGATAGCACATGGAGAGCACCTGACACCAATCCCGGCTCCCCCCAAGACCAAGCTAAAGCACTTGCAGAGCTACCGACAGCTACCCAACTACAACCCCTTTCCCGTGCGGCAATGACGAAACCAGGTTAGTGGTTGGTCGCTAGCCTGATGATGTGATGCAATAGCTTGAAATGGACCAGCAAATTTCAAGACGGACAATGGATGGCTTGTTGCAGGCTAAGCTGATTTGCATTGTACCCCGATGTGGCGGCTTCAGGCCCCCACGATAGAGGGAGCTCGCTCGTTTGAGCCATAGCAAGGAAGCACGCACCCAACAAGCGCGCGTCGATCATACGTACATATAGCACACAACCGCCTGGCCGCCTCCGATCTGGCCCTCTTTGCATTAACATGACAGACAGGGCCTCGCCCCACCTGCCATGATCGCCAAACACGTCGGTATGCTGAGAGACTCCAGAGCCCATCTCCAACTTCTGGAGCCTGATCTCAATAGCTCCGGAATCCCCACCACCCCCCTTGGCGGCCGTCAGCAGCTCCCAGCTGCTGCGTCCTCGCCTCGCTGTCTCCCTCCCAAACGAACCTCTCCCTACTCAACACGCAAGCACACATGGAGTGAGCTGTGTGGAGGACTAAGGCAAAGGCAGCAGGGGAGCGCACCAGCGGGGAGGTGCAGTAGCGTCAGTTAACGCGCACTAAACCACGTCCCAGGCCATGGTCTTTCATACGTTTGGGATGACACAAAGGCCTATTCGCGGCTAGGCCGGCCAGGAATTGAGTCGCAGGGGGGGGGGCATCATCTAATCTCTACCTTCTCGCGAGATCCCTCACGCTCGCGAGGGCGAGAGTGAACACCAATACGAGGCCGGTACCTTGGGCTTGGCTGGTAGGTTCTGACTGTAAGCCAGTAGCCCTTGCGAGCCGTTCCGTTAGTTAGGTAGCTTGACTCTTTCCTTTCTTTTCTTTTTTCATTACCCGTAGCGCGCGCAATGCTACACTCGGCCGTGTGACCAAGCTCTTGGAAATAAGGTTTGATGATGGCTAGCTGCTGTGATGAGATGAATGAGCGAGTGAATGAATGAATGGAGGAATGAATTGACGAGGGCGTGTGCATGGTCGGCGAAAGTGAAACCAACCCAGCTGCCAGGAGGCATGTCACTCACTCATGCACCGCACCAAAGGCCTCATCTCCTCCCATGGAACCCTCCCGTGTGCCGGCGTGCTACTGGAGCGGACAGCCGTCTGGACGAGCCGTCAGTGACGAGATTCCGACTGTGGTGGTGACAAGCACGGCAGACTATAGGCGATGGGATGGGATGGGTGGCATAGGGCACTCATGCTTTTTCCGCACCCACCCCTCCCATATCGTCCCCCCCCCTTGCGCACTGGATTCTGGCTGCGCGCCCCAGTTCCGCATTACGAATGGACGAATGCATGTGCCCTTCAGAGGGTGAGTTACCCGTTCAGGTAAAAACCACAAGACGAAACGGGCTCCTCGGACGCCATGGCCCCCAACCACACGCGCGCAGTGATGGTGTGCAATGTGCAGCATAACGTTGGCCCAGCCCCCGGGCGGTGAACGGACATCGGCATCACTTGCTGTTCCATCTCTCTCTGCGCACCCAGGGCTCCTCCCGCAGCGGGTTGGCCAGCATAAGGTAAGCTGCTTCCCAAGATTCAATGAGATTTGCTCAGTCGGGCAGCCAGCTGTCAGAGATAATACCCTTACCGGGGGAGGGGAGTGGGGGAAATGGGCGGGATTGTTTTTTCGATCATCTGTTATCTCGTACGTACATGCTGCTTTCTGAGGCAGATATGCCCCAGATGAGCAACGTGGGGGTGTGATTCGACGATGATTTGCCAGTGCCCGTGGCATAGGCACGCCCGCGCGCACACCATACCACCACCCGCACACGTATATTTTGGAAACCAAAGAGCACGCACTCTCCCGCGCCAGGGGGAGAGTGGGGAAAATTTGGCGCGATAAGAAAACAGTGACAAGAAAGCCAAAATATTTGGCTGGAGAGAACGGCACGCGGGGGCGCGGCAGTGACTAATAGCCCATCCGGGAAAGAGATATGCCCTCTCTCTCCCAGATAGACAGACGGCAGTGGTATGATGTGAGACGCCGCAGCGTGCGTGTGAGACCTGCGGGTGGGGTGTGATTGTCGGGGAATTTCTGCACAGTCATAGAAACCAAGCCAATCAAGAGATAAACGGCGGGAGAAAGCTCATGTGAGGAATTTGGTGATTTTTGATTTGTCTCTGAAGAAGTGGTTATTCTAAGTTTGTCGTATGGCTCCATTTGCCCCCCCCCGTCCTGCAGTAATAATCGGGTTGCCTTTTCTAGTTCAAAAAATAAACGATGCGGGAAGTTGTTGAAGTCCAGCCCAATGCTTCCTTTCCGTCCCATGCCGTGTTGTTGCTATTTCCTCCCAAAAAAAATATCAAAAAAAGAAAACCCAACCTATGTTCCATGCTAAAAAGCTTTCCCTAAGACCAGACTAAACACCGGCCCATGACAATCCAAATAGAAGAGATAAAAAAGAAAAGAGGCAAAGAGGCAAAAGCCCGCGTTGCTGCCCGGAATTATTGCTTTTCTCGCCTTGCTCCAATGACCAAAGTAAGGCGAAAAAAGAAAAAGAAGAAAAAAATACAAGTGTTTTGTTTGAAAGGAGCTCCGCTTATGCCTGTTGGCCGGAGCTGTTTGTTGATTTTCCCTAGTTCGCCTTTTGTATGCTGTTTACACCGGTGGAGGTGTGTAGAAAAATCCAATGTTGCGCCGAAGCTCGCTGAGCTTGTCATTTGTCGCTGATGCTATTTAACTCCGTAATGTTGCAAAGCTGAGGAGACTGGAAATGGAAAAGAGAAAATAAACAGATGTGAGAGAAACAATTGTGTCGGTAGGCAGTGTAGGCGCCGACTCTGGTTCGATCCGGTAGTGTTGCAACCGATTGATGTTTGTTGTTTAAGGTTACAGGTGGGGGGGCTGTGAAGATGGAACGGTCCGTTCGAGGGATTGGAAGAGGCGTTCATCGGGCGTAAACATCCTGGGTGAATGAGGGGACTCGTGGTGAGGCGGGACGCTTGATCATCTTGGCCCAGGGGTGCTGGGAGGGCTGTTGTCGTTCTCGGCATGCAGCTAGAAATCATCAATGTCAGTCTGTCGTTCCAGGCTCATTCACACGCCTCCAGGTGCTCTGGAGAGCTCCGAGGATCGGAAGTGCATACCACAGATATCATCACCCCTGGAGAGAAATGTTAGACTTTGCTCGTGTTGATAATGTACCGCCTGTATGGCAACTTACCAGTACTGCTTGCTCACAATCTTGGGTGGGCATCGCAGCTGAGTCTCAATGTACTTGGGGCACCATGACTCTACCAGGTGGTAGTGATGCTGGCAGCTCAGCTCCTTCTACAGAGGGATCGCCATGTTAGTCATTGTGCCTTTGGGTGAAAGAAAAAAAACAGTTGGGACCCACATAAATGTAGTTGCACATGCTGGATGATGTTGTTTTGGCTGATGTCTGGGAGTGTAATATATGGAGATTGTCGTTGTAGGTGAGCCCAAGGGCTTTGGGCTTGCCAGTCTAAAACGAGACAAGCAATGGGGAGTGTGAGAGAAGGTCGTTGATGTATGGGTGAGTAAATGGATGTAAACAGTTCGTCGGCTTGGCCAGAACAGAGGTTAGAGCTGGAGGTCGGTTGTTTGCTTGCTCATCTAGATGGCAGTGAGTGGGCTGGTGGGAGGTGCCTCTATATTTAAGAATTTGGCGACGACGGCAGAGAACGGTCCAGTCTAGCAGCGGACCCTAGCACCAAGCATCCCATGACAAAGGTTTCATGCCGAGACCAGACTTTCTTTGGCTGGAATATACGTACTGTACATCTATGACCCTGGAACGAGTCAACCATAGTCGGATCCAGAGAATCCCCAGCGGGCCAGCAGGGCCCAGGGGGGACCGAAGGGGGGCAGCGAAATACACTCGGTACAGACAGTACAATACACATGGGAAATGGTTCTGGGAGGGGGGTGGAGGGTCTTTGCCGGGTGTGCTGGGGGTGTTTCGTGGTTTGGTCTGAACGTCTCCAGTGAAGGGGAGGGGTGGGTGGGTGTGTAGGGAGCCCGCTAGCCCGTGAGGGCGTGTGAGTGCCTGTGGACAGGGCTGGGGTTGTGTGTTATGGGGAATGACGGGCTTGACTTGGAACCTTGATGGTCCAGTTGGGTTGGGCGCACTGGACGGCCCAGTGTTGCGGTGCGGTGCGGTGCGGTCTGGTGCGCCGAGCTGTGCGTGCTGTGCTGTGCTGTGCTGTGCTGTGCTGAGTGGTTCAGTAGGTGCCTCTGCCTGTGCGTTGTGCTATGTGAGTTTAGGTGCCAAGGTAGCACTAATAAGTTCAAGCTGGTTCCATTGTCCAGGTACCGTCTTACGTGCGCTGTGTTGTATTGTGCCCGCAGCTGCAGTTTCCCGAGCACAGCTGTGCACCTGCCAATGCACGCAGCCATCCATCCACTACCTCCCGCAGTGACAAACCTCCATTCCCTTTGCAACTCACCTACTTCTCCATCCATCCCACACATCCCTCTACCATAGTTTGTACACGCTGGCGCCGCCTTCTCTGTTCTGCACCCATGGGTCCCTAGCAAGTTTTCCATCGGTGCACTATTCGGACCTGCCTGCCCACCCTCTCGGCTTGGAAGCTCCAACTCTCCGGAAAGACAGCCTCCTCTATCAGGCGCAGATACGTAGTCTATCCTAGCAGTTAATGACGACGGAACTTCCCTTGCAATAGTCGAGACATGTCCTATTCTACAGATGCAGAATGTGCGACTACCGCTCCCTACCGCCATAACCACTTCCCATCGGCGGGGTCTTGCCACGAGGTGTTTGTATTCCGGCCTGACAGGGCGATGCTTGTCTCGACTCTCACACCGACGACAGTGCGCACGAAAATTCCATGCAGTGCCACTGCAAGTCGGTCGGATCAACCGACGAAAAATAGCTGATCCCGCCCATCCTACGTTCCTCTACGTACCTAGGACCAGACGGATGGATTGTCAAGCAAATGGTTCTTAAATCATTCTCAGACACTAGTCGCCAGGCACCGCCCGCAGCAGCACTGCGCCTGACTCCCCGACCCTTAGGCCGGAACAAGAGGTGGGCTCGTTGGGCAGCGTCGTTCGTCAGCCAAACCATCGACCCTCCGAGCTCGGTGGCTGCTGCTGAACCGTTAGACTCTGTTCATGAGAACAGCTTCGATTCTGCTAATGCAGAAACGGACGGGCACGCCAAATTTCGTTTCGCACTAGAGAGTGAGAGTTGACCCCTGGTTCGGATGGTCTCTGGCTGGCCACAGGAAATTTCCGAAGCCGCTCAGCATGGTGCCCTTCAAATGACGGGGACAGAAAATTTATTTTTATCCAATCCAGCCAGCCAGCGTGTGTGGAAGCAAAAAAGATTTCAATTGGAAATGAGGTCCTCATCAAACTACGTTAGACAAGACGCTACGCCACAGATCCCCCCGCCTCACCTGCTGCGTCTGGCCAGGCATTGGTCTGAGCCCTGCCAAATGATGCTCATTAGCGGTCGCGACCCCCAGGGTTCAGGCGGGCAGGCCAGTCATGGAAGCCTTGTCCGAAACTTCCATGAACCGACCTGCTGGTCCTCAATCCCACGTGGAGCAAGTCGTCAGAGACACTCATTCCCTCAGCCAGCGACGTGCTTGATTTTGGCTCCTTTCAATCTCCTCCAGGCTTGCCTAGCCAAAACCCTTACCCTTAACCCCTGTTTGACAGAATGTCACATCCCTCAAGGAATCGATGCACGGCCGGCTAAGAAAAAGGTGGTGAATGAATGTCCTACATAATTCACGTGCTGCATCCACCGTGCGCGGCTAGTCGCAGGCATGCAAATCTCTTACACATAGTCAAACCACAGCGATGCAATGGAGATGATATCCAGCTTCCACAGATGTAAACACTGACGCAGCATGGCCAAACAGGGAAATTCGGTCCTCATAGGGCCCTGTCCAACGATGCCAAAACGCCTCAATTGGAGAATCCCAGCGACCCCTCCCAGCCCCAAAAAAGGAGAAATAAGGCCGGGCTTAGTCCAAACAGGCAAAGAATTTTTGTCCCCTTTGTTCCCCAGTAGCTCCTCACCAGGAACTTCTCAACGGTCCAAGTCGCCCACACAAGACAAACTACGGTGACGGACAGTCCACCAGGGCGAGTCAGAGAGAATGGGGCCCGGCCGCTACGGGACACGTGCCGTGCCATGATAGTTGAAGTTGGCCAGGAACTAAGGAAGGCTTGGGCTACCATCAGACATGAAGGGCACGCACAAAAGCCACCCATAAGCAAAACTCACCGTAACAGGCCAGGGCCACCGACCCGGACAAGATATCCTACTTGAGGCATTAGGAAGACTGCGGTTTGCAGTCATATGCTTTTTCGGCCCTCGGAGCCTCAGATAGACCTGCGCGTGATGCCCATCCAAGCACCACTCAGCTTCCTAACACGGGCCCTTTCGACCAACGAGACAGGATGAAGAATCACTCATCCCCACACCACCACCAACACCACCACCACCAGGCGGTTGAGTTCATTTAGTACGGGTGGATTCCATGGTTCAGTCACAACACCAAGGATTGCAGTGCAGACATAGAGGTCCAGTGCGCTCGTCTCAGTGGTTAATGCAGTGTGCTTCATGCAGTGCTCGGCGTTTGTGTTTCTAATAGGACGGTCCAAGCTGTCACCTGGCTGACTCTGACCCTGCAGAACATAAGCATTACAGAGGATATACATGTAATATGAGAATGTCGCATGAAGGTAGGTGCTATGATGTATGCAGTACGTGCCCAGTCTACAGGACATGGGTGAGTGGATGGGTGGTCATAAACCCCTGTGACGCACAAGACTGACGCCATTCGGTTGCACCCGATTACAGAAAAGCCACGCTTATCCGGCCTCGTGAGGTAGAGAGGCTGGACTGGCGGAGAGATGAAGATGCGAGAGCGAGAGAAAGACTGGCCGGGCGCATGTACATGCCACCGAGAGCCTGCTGGTGTGTGTGAGAATGATGAGAGAGAGGGAAACGAAACCGGAGGACCCGACTCATCAACAAATAAAAGCACTCATTACCAATATCTGACCTCCATATCGTTGATCGCGTGTCCAGCCATATCAGCAGCCGGGTCAGAGTGCCATCCCAACTCACAGCACAGGTCATCCACCGAGTACACATTCCGCTTCTTCCAACAATGGAGATAAGCGACCGCCTCTTGCCTTTTACTTTCTCGACGATGCGGTGGAAGGTGTGTCTACACTAAATGAGCCTATCTTTGGGGCGCTTGGGTCTGATCCACACACACGTGGGTTAAATTGCCGGCCGTCTCAGTCTAAAACGAGACGGTCTAGTGAGTTCGTATGCACGCACGCACCTAAGGGGCCTTTTTTGCATAAGCTTCAGAATGCTTCATCCGTACTGATTCGACACACGACACGGAGCGGAGCAGACAGACGCTGACCGCCTCACTGGTGAAATTTTCATTTCGCGTCGCCGAGGACATGGCAGCCAGCCCTTGATGATTGGAAACGTTGTTTCTGACCCGTATCGCAGCCTCTGTTATATTCGAGCCTGCGACGGCTCGATCTGCTGTTACATCGTATTATTCTCAAAGCATGGACTCATAATGGGGCAGGCTCCCGCCTATCGCATCGACCTATATCTCCATACTTTGGTATGTGCTCAACATCTAGCGCCCCAGCTGCCTATCTGGCAAACACCGATAATATCATAATACGCATTTCCCTCTCAGGAGAGTCAATATCCCTCAGGGTATTTTTGGCGAACCACGTGCGAATGTGTCTTTTTGGCCGCTAAGTGCCGCTGTCAGCAGAGTCCCAGGCAGCGGCCAGCGTCCAACATGCTTCCTTTCCCGCGCTCCCGCTTTCCAAATGCAGAAACCGGTCAGAATGTAATTGCAAGGGTCTCGGGACTTGGGATTGGGTGACAGGACGGGGATAGCGAGGGTTTGAGAGAGATACGAGACAGACGGTCACTGGGGCACCAATAATTGGTTTGACACCGACACAATCGCCATCTTCAGGTTGGGAGATGCCTGTTTCGGCGCGCCTGGGCTGTTGCTTGACCAGGGCTGGTTCTTCTGGTCTGCTTCTGTCAGCCTTCTGGACTATGCTCTATCCATCCCTCTCCCCACAACTGATAATGTTTTGGGCTGCCTCACAAGGCTACGTGGTGCTGGATCTTTCGTTTATCCCATTACGAAACAAATCTCCTTCCATCCTCATATCAACCATATCTTCCGTATCATAGAGGCGGCCATCTCCTATCAAGGGAGTTCACCCCCATGATAAGAGCTGCCTGGGTGCCGCTGCCATCACTCAAACCGGCCAAATTTGACCCCGTTTCCATATGTAATACAAATGTAATGGGTGTAGTCATCGATGTGCGCCCCCGCATCTCGCTTGCGTCTCTCACATACATACGTATGCATGTACGCACATGCCTACCTTAGATACCCAGCTATATGTTTCCGGGATTGTCGATATCACGCATGGACAATCAGGCCGTCTGCGATCTGCACCGGAAATGGGCTTACGTAGCAGAATGTATTCAGGCCGCCTGGGCGCTGGCTGCGCATGGCTGTATCACGATCGCATATCGCCATCTGCACATCCACATAACGCAAGCAGGAGTCATGGACATGCCCTATTGACGAGAAGGACGGGGCCGACCGATAGCAGGTAGATTTGGGGGCTGCCCGTATACCGCTCAACTATGTGTCAATGCAGATGTTCCAACGCGCGCGCGCGCTTAAGGAGAAGGGATGACCCAAGGGCGGTGCCTCAGCGGTCAAGTCAAATGCTCGACGTTCAAGGAAGATCCTCATGGATGCCCACCTTGTTCATGCACGTGTGCATACATACATACAATGATACGCACATACATACATGCGTCCGTACATACGTGACATTCCGCTGGTGCAGAACAAGGGCCCTCGTCTTGTGCAACAGTAAAATGCTTGACTGCCTTCTTCCCCTCTCCCTCTCCTCCGAGCCCTGGGCGATGAAGGGTAGGATGGCCCGACCCAGGTCACGCCCAGGCTGTGTCAAGTATCCAAGAGGGGCTGCCAGAGACATGGGGCATAAACCTAGGGGATGTAGCCGGTAGTGAGGCCTGTCCTGTCTCGGAGAGGGGCCGAGACAGGGTATTCTCTCTACATGCGCAGGCGAAAGTCTGAACCTTCTGCAAGAGGGAAATTCATCCATGGGACGCAGCAACTCACCCGAGGTTAACGCGCTGACAGCTGCCCTGGTTGCCATTCGGCGGCGCGCGGCCCGTTGCCAACCCAACACCTTCTACATTGTTATTCTGATCCCAGCACAAGCTTAAACAAGGAGCCCGGTCAGGCGGAGAGACGGCGAGGGAAATGGAAGCAAAGGAAACAGACAGCGAATTGAGCCGGGCAGCGGCCACAGTCTCTTTGCACGCCTGTACAAGAGCCCACCTGTACCACCGTCCTGGAGCTGTGCCAGGTGATTGATTGGCATCATGGGGCCGTCACGGGACAGACGCCAGCAAGCGATCAATTAGAGCGAAATTACTCCAAGATGTCATCGCGGGCTTTTGGCAGACTCCGTCTCGGCCATGTTACATCCTCTCTCGTATCCATACTACGTGATCCATTCCCAAGGCAGCAGCAAGACAGCACTTGGTTCCCCATTACGCCTAGTGTCAACGACCATGGGCGCTGAAGCCGGCACAGTAGGTTACATGGTCGAGTACCAATCAATCCCAATGCCGTCGCCGTGGGATCGCCAGTGGCTGGCGAGGGTTGCGCTTGATTCATGGATCGACAGGGCATGCAGGGGAGGGGGCTGCCCGCTGAAGATGATGTCTCGTACCAAACAACCGGATCCAATCACGCTGCAGCTAAGACGTGCCCTGAGACGGCAGAAGGGGAGGCGTGAGGCCGGTACTGGGGATGGAGCCAAGAATTCGTCAAGCCTTTCTCCACCGCTGGTGCGGCGGTACACAGAGAGCCAGCTCAAGACTGCGCCCTCCCTCACATACCGCTCAGCCTTGAGCCTCTTCCCTTTTACTGTTTTGTTTATCTGGACCGAGATTGAATTCTGAGACTTCTTGTTCCAGGTCGGCCTCGAACCCCTGCAGTGGCTGGAGATGCTTGCTGTTGCCACGGGCACGTCGACGCCCAGCCCGCCTCGCTTCTGCATACTAGGCTGTCCCTGATGAGCCGTATGGATATGGGGTTGTTCTGCCCTCCGGAGATGCCTTTGACGTGAGAGCCCGGTGTATTTGCCACTGGTGGCCCAGCGGCCTGGTTAAGCCAGGAACCAGGGCACTCACATGGAGGACTAGCTGGCCTTGGCTCTTGAAGAACAATGGCCACCTGACTGGCTCCCTCTTCATCCAGCACTATTCCCTTCACGGACTCCGAGGGATTTGGGGCGTTCGGGTCCAGGTGAACGCTTCCGCGTGTGCCTACCCTGAAGCCATCCACTCGAATCGCACCAACGTCACCGCTTTATAGCTCGCACACGACAATTCAGCACCAGGACGAGTTCCAGCTTCGGCTCTTACTGTGCCTGGCGAAGAGGCCAATCCCGTCACCCCACTTGGAGCGGGAGCGGCCGACAGAAATCAGTGGAACGATGGTAATCGCCGAGGGCACAGAATCGAGCTACCGGATATGGGCGGAACCAGGACAGAGTCTGACACACTGCCGGAGGCGGATCGCTGGAGCACCGAGCCCCCGCCGTTTTTTTTTCTGTTTCCTTTTTGCTTTTTCTTGCTTGCTTTGGGAACTTCATTTTCCTATTTGCTCTTATTACTGCTGGAGACACCCTGTGGCTGGTCTTCTTACGGAATAGTGCGGTGAGCGTCATGCATTAGATGGCGCCAAAATGCCTGCACCTGCATTCTCCAGCTGCTTGAGTGGGAGAGAAGACACGGAGATAGAGACAAGCATGTCCAACCTCCGAGCTAATGACACTCATCACAGCCGCCATGGACCTATACGGCGCTTCTGAGGGCTGGACGTGGAATGAGACAAGACCGCCGACCCTTGCAAGCCGCAATAATCACTATGAGACATTCCAGCGTCCAAAATGTCTATCTCCACGCCTCGTTCATCCCTTGGCCGCGCTGCGGGACGTTCCGTCCCGGTTTCAATATTTCACGAGCAAGACGGAGGCACAGCGTGACGTCGAGATACGTATGATATCTAATGATGACAAATTCCGAAGAGAAAATTCGAGTTAATATATACGCTCTGCAGCGGTTCCAAAAGTCCCTCCCTCAGGAATATGCCGCGCAAGCAGAGGCGGCGCGCGTATGCTGTACCGCTTGTGAAAAGACCCGGCAGGGAGTATATTGTCAGATTTGACGCCGCACCATCAACTCCAGTTCAGTTGAGCTACGGCGCACGAACTGGATGTTGCGCTCGGCGACGATATCTCGTCCAGGCGTCATCCCTGGGATCGGCTCAACAGAGTTGACGACCGTCCCGTATCTTCGATCCATCTGGCTATTCCTGTCCCTATCCGTGGGCCTGGGAGATTTGAGCTTTGCCACATGCAGCCAAGGAGATCTGCGTCGTATGCCGCAGACTTGCCAGCGAGCCTGGTCTAAGCATTGAATAGGAAGGAGCAAGAAGGCAAGCCCCTCCTCGCGCTGGGCTTGATTTGACTTCACCATGTTTTCTTTTTTTGAGGGACCTTTTCGGCAGTACGGCCGCGAGCTGGTCGTGGCCTCCTGTGCTGAAACATCACCAAGATATGGGATATAGGAAGATACATCGCGATATATTATTAGTTACCACCAGGAACTAGATTCTCACACGCCTCCCCCCCTTCCAGCCACGAGGCGCGACTTCAGGGCTCGCAGATCTGGCGGGGGCGGACTGCTCGATGAGGAGGAGTTTGCGAAGACGGCGCCATCAACGAAACCTATTTGGGCAAACCGAGCGCCTGTGCCAACGGAACGGGCAAGCCACCGCCCATATAGGGCAGTCGGGCGACGGCGTTAAGATGAGCAGATTGATAGTAGCAGGTGCTAATAGCCAAACACAGGCGCCGCTCCACTTGTTCCCTCGTGGCTTCTTTTCTTTCTCTGGCCACCACATGCTACGCCGGGTCTGTGCTAACGGGCATGGGGCGGATCCAGGTAGGTCAGGTTTTGAAGAAGATTTCAAGGGAATGGAGGGGTTACCTCTAGTGATTTCGAAACCTAGAGATTGCGGAAGCAAGGAAGACGAGCCCTCATATCATTTAGTGTGCGCGGGCGAAGATTACTCCACGCTCCCTCTTCGCACGTGGGATCCCTTCTCCAAGTTTATTGAAACACTGCGGCTAAATTTTTAAGGTATTTGGTTAGGTAAGTTGGGAAGGGGACCTGTTCAGCTGCTGGTTGCGCTTGTTGAAGATGCAAATATGGACATGTGAGACTTGAGCGGTTGATCGAATACCCAAACTGCAAGAAGCTGAGGCTTCCCAGGGCATCATTACTACGAGAAGAATTGAAGGAGTACCTTTGTTCGGCAGTCTTCAAATAACAGCTACAGGAGCAGTAACGCGTATCACGCATTATTTAGTAGCACATCTAGTTTAGATAGTCGACATGTAGACAGACAGGTATAGAAGCATTATGTGGGGTTGGTGGTCTGCTCACCCCCTCCATAGACCTCAGCTTCTCACCAACATGGACGTGGTATTCGTCATGAGCCTTGTCTTACACACAAGAATCCTGAAATCTCACGGCTTTATGCTTCTTCTGGCTGGTGCCGGTTCGGGCTTTGCGCCAGGTTTGGCGTCGAAGAAAAGAAAAAGAAAACCACACACACACACACCAGCCCGTTGCTTAGCTGCATATCAAGGCGGGCTAGAGGACCCTTGCCGTGACATGCCTGGCATTGGACACCATCACCTAGTGCCGCCAGTTGTGTGTCCCGTATGCCGTCTGCTTGGCTGAATCGGAATCCGGAGATGAACCAACATGAATCAGCGAGATCTTAACTACTGCCGCGCGTGTATGCACGTGCATATCACGGGAGGAGGGCCAAACCAGCATGAACGATTAACTAGGTAGGGGCCTGGCTCACATGAGCCCCAGCCAGGAGGGCTAACTTCAGGAAGAGGGAGGGGGCGTGCAGCTCGCCTAAAGCATTCTCTCATGATGGGTTCAGAAGAACAAGGAAAAGGAAGGCCTCCCCCCCCTTCTTCACTGGTCCCAAGGAGACGGACCCTCGATGGTGAGATGATGGGGTTTGGATCTTCTGTGCGGGCTAATAGCGGAAGGGAGGTCTTTCCGGGGTACTCTCCCGGGCGGAAAGAGAAATGGCAAAGTACAGTACATCCTCCTCGTAAAATCTCCTGTTCGGGTAAGGCGACGCTATCAAGGACAAGGCCGTGAACAAAGCTCCCCCAATCCGCGCCACCGGGACCGAGCTATACCACGAATCGTCCGAGCTGTGCATGCAGTCCCAGGTTGCTGGGTCTCCCCTTTTTCGGTCTCGCGCTTCCTGACGCGCTGAGGCGAGGAGCGAAGAAAAAAAAAAAAAGGAAACATGCTTGGATGGGCTGAGGCTCGAATCTTTAAAAGCCACTTGGTGCTAAATGCGCGCATACATGGATGGTGGCCCTCGCACTGACTCGTCCGTGGGCCAGAGGACTCAGCTTTCGGATTCGTATTCATGCGTGACGTGACGGAACAGGCCGGCTATGGAGATGGTGGGTGCCTATATTTGTGCATGCCGTCTCGACTACGTGCCGAGATCTGCGCGGATCCAGAGTCAAGCAGGAGAATGGGGCCTGGAATCTATGATCTGCATGTACAGTCACAATTGGCGGTCAAATGATGAGAGGCTTGGTAGAGGGTCGAAAGGCGGTAGGGCAAAGCACATGGTAAGAGCAAGGTATTCAATGTAGATGTAAGTTTTCCTATTTCATTCAAAATCCAACGCCTTCTTGGATGTAGTTTCCTTAGTTCATGTGTACAATCTTATGTGTACAAGTAATAGATGACAGAGAAGATAACCAATAACAAAAATGTTTCAAAAATATGTACTGATGAAGAGAATATGAAAGAGCCCGGGGCATGACCTCGAGCACGACACACCGAGAGCCGGCTGCTTAAGCTCATGAGCCATGGCCGCCGGAGGGTTTCTGACTGAGACCTCATAGCCCCAAGCCACCAGCAGCCATGTGGCGTGCTTGGGGGCTTCTGGTTGTAGGTCTAGTGCAGGTTGATCGTCCAGTCGGAGATGGAGGGCTGATCTGAACGCTTCCAGGTGGCGTTCTGGGCGCATATTGGGACTGGACTTGGCCGCCGCCCTCTTACCAGAACTTGATGTCCTTGAGCGCCTTGGTGACTTTGGCGGCGACGAGCTTGTGGATGCCAGTGCCGGGGTGGTAGGTGTCGCGCCACAACTGCAATAGGAGCCCATCATCAGCTAAAGGCCTACAAGGCAGAGAGATGGGATGGGGGGTGGCTACTTACACATGTCTTGCCATCCTTGTTTGTGCACTTGTTGTTCTTGGCGCCTACACTCTTGGGGGTGTCCAGGGCCTTCTTGAAGGACGCCTCGGTCTTGACGAAGGCGGCCTTGACATCCTTGTGGCTCTTCTTGAACTTGTTCAGCTTGTCGTTGATGCGCTTGTTGTAAGCCTTGGTGGCCTTTTGAAGCTTCCTGGCCTTGGACCTGCCCTTCTTCTGGATTAGGGGAGTGCGGTAGGTAGCTATTGGTCCCCAGGTCAGTCCTTTCCTATGTTCCTAGGAGGATGCCCCCTTTGATGCTGTTACTTACGAGGAACCTGAAGCAGGAAGAACTTCCGAATTCCGGTCTTGTAGAGGCTCTCGAGTTCCTCAAAGTACTTGTCGACAGACTTCTCGATGACCTTGGTGGAGTTCTTGCGATAGTACGACGTCCCCAGGTCGTTGAGGCCCATCCAGACTCCCACGGCCGCGCTGTCGCCATCCCACTTGGCATAGTCGGGCTTCTTGCCCACGGTGTCCTGGAAGCTCTTGACCTGCTCGGTGAAGCTCTGCACGTCGGGCTTGCTGCCGACGATGATGCTCTTGTCGACGGTCGCGCCGCCCGAGGCGAAGTTCCACGACAGGGTGTCGTGGTCCTTGTTCTTCTCCTCGAGGACGTAGCCGACCCAGTTCTCGCCCCCAGAAGAGGTCTTTCCGGGCATGGCGGGGTTGCCCAGAGGGTTCTTGGTCGTGGGCTTGTCGCCCTTGACGTCGAAGCCCGTCCTGGAGTACGAGTCTCCGCTGGAGGGGTGTTAGGCCAGATGTCTTTGCTGTCGCGACGGTTGACTTACAATGTGAATAGGTATCTGGTGTCCTTGGCCGATCCGAGGGTGGCCAGGGCGACACCTGCCGAAAGAATACTAAGGAAATGCATCTTGCCGGAAGATGACTACGTGGACATGAAAGAGAATAGAAGAGGCGCTGCCTGTGGTGGTGAGGCTGCTGATTGCTCCCACCGGGTGGAAAAAGAAAAACAAAAAATTGGTCTCAATGAGGCTGTGGTTTGTTTGACGATTACTACATCGTCCTCGTGGTTCTCCCTGATTGTTCTTATAAACTGCATGATTTCCTGCCGTCATGGGATGAATTCCTTGTTGAGACGGGTTGTGGTTAAAAATAGACTGTAAGCCGCTGGGGTAGATCTGGCTATTACGGATCATGGCGTCGGGGCCCACGATTTCCTGCGCCAAGAGAGGGTCGTTCCAGAGCTTCCCGGTTGGTATTTAAGACTGCTACTGTTGCCTGTTGCTTTAGATAAATGAATCTCGGGTTGTACGCTGTTCACTCGGTGCTCGTGAAAGATGGTGTTGAAATTGAACTCTTCTCCTCCGGCTAACCTGGCCCCGAATCTAGGTCTGAAGATCCCTTTGGTATCACACGAGAAGATACAGCAACAAGGACCGTGCTTTTTCAATTGCCCCAGATATACAGGTGATGATCCTTCCTCGACGGTATTGACATGGACAACAAGGGTGATCACGATAGGCACGATGGATTGGGAGAAGCTGTGGCCGCCCTCCAAATGACGGATATTGCAAGTGTCAAAGGCCCTGCGATGCTCCACTAACAGCTCCTCTGTAAGTTTGTACCTTGGATCCTCCCCTACCCTATACAACCAACGCCATTGCTATGCAATTGAATCAACCACTGTCGATCAGAATAAGCCATCGCTGGCATCCAAGTGACGATGATACGATATATTTCGAAGTCTGTGAATGCAAATTGATTAAAAAACAAACTGGTTGCGGCGTCAATGCACTGCATGCCTCAGCCTGTTCTTCAATTACTACCACCTCGCACACCCGCTTCCCTGAGGAAGGAGCCCATCACATGTAACTACCATTATTACCCAATCCAGCCTTCGTTTGCCAAAAGAATGTCTCACACCGAGATTCAAGCCATCAAAACTTTCCTAATCCCTCAGCCACGTACGACCGGTTTTAGAAGCACACACAGAGGATCCCTCTGAATGAGTACCACGGCCCCATCCATCTCCAACTTCTGACTGCCTTCGGCGTTACTCCTCCTCCTCCTCCTCCTCATAACAATCCAGCATAGGTATTATCGACGCAAGCTCCTTACGGAGCTCCGCCAGGTGTTTGGTCAAAGTCTCCTCCCTGCTCTTCACCATCTCGTACGACACGTCTACAAACAATGACGTCGACAGAGTTCCCGCGCCCGCCTGCCCATTGACCGTGCCGTCCTTGGGGTTCCTCAGCGACGCGTCCAGAGCCGCCGTCGCCTTGCGCAGGCGACGGAGGAAATTGTTGGCCAGCTGGGCCGTCAGGAACATGGCGAGCGAGGGCGTCGAGTTCACAGGAATCGAGCCGATGTTCACGTTTGGCAGCTTCCAGAACTGAAACACCACCTCCGAGGCAATAATCAGCAGCTCGTCCGGGTCGGTCTGCGCCACTTCAGTCTGCACCAGGCCGAACACCTTCTGGTACATGTCGAGCAGCCGCACATACGTCGACAGCACAAACATGGAGTTGCCTGGGTCTGCGCTGGCCCGTCGTTCCGTGGCGGTGGCTGCCAGCTGGTCAAGGATGTCGGCCACGCGCTGCGTGAGGTTGAACATCTCGTCTATTGGCCACCCGTTTTCTCTGAACCTCTCATTAGAAGGCCTGCCGAGCGGCTGGGGCGCCTCCTGCGCCTCCGAGAGGGCAGTGGACAGTTCCAGGAGGCGGACGTTGATCTCGTTTAGTTCCGCCATCCAGAGGACCGGCGAGGCTTCCCAGGTTGTTGTGGGGCTGGAATTCGATTCCTGCAGCTGTCTGAGGCTGCTTGTGTCAAGAAAGGAAATGTGTCCAGGGCTTTGTCCGTACCGGAACCGTGGGCGCTTGTTGCTGTTGACACTGTTGTCGGTGACCGGTTTGGGCTGGCAAGCTCTCCCCCTGAAGGCGACAGGAGAGGAGGAGGAGGGGATCTGTGGAGAGCGATGAAGCTCAGTCTGCGGCTGGGAGAGAGTATGCTGAGCTTGAGGCTGGGGCTGGGGCTGAGTGTGGTCTATCACAGGAAATGTATCCGAGGTTGTGGGGAGGTGGTGATGTTCCCACGAGTTTATGAAGCCTCCTGTTTGTTGGACTGGCTGAGCGTGAAGGTTATCGGAAAGGAGGGCGGGGTGAGATAAATGCTCCGAGTGAGGCGGTGCGAAGAAGCCCAGCTGGTCAAAGTTGAAGTTGAATTCGCTTATGTCTAGCCCTGTCTCAGATGTCACGAGGCTATGGGGTTTTCCTGTGAGCGCCTCTGTCCGCGAGCCTGCTGGCACTATGTTCGGCAACCACATGAGTCAGTGACCTACTGATCAAGACATGAAATGGGGACAGTGAAAGCACTTACCGGTCTCAGGCAATACAAGGATTGGGTCGCTGCTGGTCCTTCGCCTCTTCGGAGACCGACTACCAATTACTGGAGTTGTCTCGGCACCAAGGGCGTCCTGATGGGGCACTTGCTGGAAGTGTTGGTGATGGATTTGGTGGTGCGGCGGTGGAGGAGGAGGAGGCTGCTGGTGCACGTATAGCCGCTGGGCCTGTTGTTGATGTTGATGTTGATGATCCTGGGGTTGTGGTTGGTGTTGTTGGATATGATTTTGTTGCTGTTGCTGTTGCTGCTTTTGCTGCCCCCTCTGCTTTTTATGGCGAAGCGAAGGGCTGAAATTGCACTCGGTTTTCAGCCGCGTACAACGCTCACAGGGCTCTTCACCGATGCGTTTGCAGCTCAGCTTCTGTGAATGACAGCGATCGCAAGCTTTTCGGATTGAGTTATCGGCCATGGTCTTGACCATCTCTTCAACAAGCGATGGGGTGGGGAAGACTCGACGAAGCTTTAAGAGGACGCCGAACTGTGAGAGACAACAAGAACCCGCCTTTTCCTAAAAGCTGCCTTCGGTTAGACATGCTCAGTCATTTCGTCTCTCCCGTTGGCCGAGACAAAAGTTTCGAATCATCAAACGCCAGAACAGACATCCGCAAACCCATGTACTTGTGCCTGTGTGTGTGGGGAGAGAGGTGGGTGGCCCAGAGGCACATCCCACAAGGCGCACGCGGCTCTCTAGATTGGTGAAAGGAGGGGAGGAGGGGCAGTGTCCGCAAAGGCACGGTGGCCTTGACCTGACCTTGGCTTGCGCGTGGCCCTCATGGCGTCCATGCTGTGGACGGTACGCGAGCATAACGTGATTGGCCCTGTTCTGTTCATGATCACAGCTTGTTGTGCGTGTGTACCCTTTCTCGTCTTTTACTGCGCGGTAAGAGAATACGACGGCGCCAAAACTACAAGGGTGCATGAGAGAGGAGTAAGTGATTCAGACATTGACTTGCATGCGGCAGGGCTTCTTCAAAGTCCTGCGGCTTCAAGCATGGGGTTTGATTCGCCTACACTAACCTTGCGGGACCTGCGAGTCACCATGAGAGTAGAACGCCTCCGAAGTTGCCGATGCTTTCGATTGAGACATGCCTTCCCATTACGTTGGGGATCGTGTCCCAGCCCAATGGTTCGGGCCCGGGTAAGTGGATTTTGTGACATGTCGTATCGATTCCTCCTAGGCTGCCGCCTTATTCCTGCAGTAGTCCGGCCATGGGGTTCGGAGGCTTTCGTGGAAGATTTGCGTATGCTACAGAGCTCTCCAAAATGGGATGCTGCCGGTTGTTCTCGTCATGGCTCCTCTCCGACGATTCTCGGCTACATAATCACGCGCGGATTTTTGATGCATGGACATGCTACGACTGGCGATCTTGCCCTCGAGAATCAATCCAAACCCCTCACATTTATTACTCACCAAGGTGGGTGGCGTAGATGGTGTAACTTTCGCATTGTCTGCTGTAAGGGACGTCGCACTATAATCTGTCCGGGGATACTCTTGTGCGACCTTTGCGATCATTTCATAAGCATGCGCTTTGGCACGCTGGTTCTCTGACCGCACATTTTCAGGGCAAGCCAAGAGTGGGTGGTTACAGTTGAGGCTTGGTGTGTAACCCTGACCGAGTTCTGTCTGTGTCACCACTTCGCTTCACCAGCAGGGCAACAGCGCAATCATTCCGACGGGAGCTCTTATTGACACCTACGAGCTGAACCCACGGCTGTGGAGTGATAGGCGTCCATATCAAGCCGCCGGAGATGGTTTGTTCTTAGAACAGCAAAGCAAGCACCCAATTGACCCGCCTTCATAGCGTCTCTACTCTGATGTTGGGGGTCCAAATTACGGTATAGGCTCTCGTATGATTGACCTTGGAGCGGAACATTGACAGCGAAGCACATTCGCTGATCTATGGTACCACCGATTTGCGACGCCGACATCTTGAGTGGCGTCCCCTTCTGCAGCCATGATATCACGAGACTTCGCATCCCAGTATCAGTTTGGGATCTTCTTGAGGAAAAAAGATTCGATCTCGAACATGTGGGGAGTTTGTCCAAGATCGGCCGAACTCAATCTCAAATTGCGGTGTCGGGATCTCCAACTCGCAAGGTTGTGATGTCTTACTGCTCTGGGTGTCTTTGATTCAGGGCCAAGAGAACCGCCACACCCAGCCATGTCGCTTAATAGCAATTCTTACTTGGTGAAGCTAAATGTATGGACGCAATGGACTGCATATGAGGGCATCTGAGAGAAGGCTCGAGAAACTTGGCCGGCAAGACAAATTCGACAAATCCAAGATGTGTGTTCAAAGGCCCTCGGTCTACAGAATTGGTTGGTCAGCTGTATTCTGGACGTTCCCACGCGGCCGGGTTCTCGCCCCCCATGTGAATCCCTGGCCCTTAAACGCCAGAAGCATACCGTGCTCTATGATCTCCGAAACCCTGGCTTCCATAATTCTGGAATCACAGGGGGATCAGATCTCGAATCAAGCCAGTGTCATACCATGCAGTGTCATAGCATGGCAAGATCCTCGGAGCTCGGCCTCTCTCTTGCCATCGGCTCCTCATTACCATCAACATGGGGCTAGCCTAGCACATGCACATATGCTGTATCGCCTTGGATCTCTATTTCTCCTTCTACCAAGCTTCTCTAGGCTGAGATGGTTGGTTATTGTTTGACCCCAGAGTGGCACTCGTACGAGGCGGGACAGGGCTCCTCCTAGGGCTCATGCCATTCGTAATCCCTGGGAATCCTCAAACATACACCCCCCTTCACATCTAGTATCTTGGAACAGATCGAAGGGTACAGCCGTGCGGCAACCTGCATCCGAAAGTCGCTACTGACGGTAGACTTCCGTATCCTTCTTCTCAAGGTGACGAGTACATGCAGAGTTGTATCATCGACCCCCTTCTCCGGTTCTACAGCCATTGATCAACCTGATTTCGGTGGCCAATAGGTTAAATTAAGAATATGTCATCACTTGCATGGCAGCATAGGCGCTCGATCATGAGCCTACCTGTGCCTGCCACGCCGATCGCCGTCTCTGTTCAGCCTCAGACATGATCGAGCATGTGTCCACGTAACATCACACTCATTTCCCTTTACGAACGAGATCACCCGCCATTACCTCCACGATCTTGAAGGCAGATCAGATCTCACTTGAGACATGCATCTAGAGAACTGATTGGCGTGTATAATGAGCCATCAAGCGGCTACCCAAGTACCGCCGTCGTACGACTCAGCAAGCTCCCCCCCCCCCTTTCTTTCCACGCTCCAGGCCGTGCCACGGCAGCGCAGAAGAACACTTCACATTCCCCCATAGAGTAATCCGCCTTGCCTATCCCCAGCTGCTGACCCGTCGAGGAATGGCTTCGTACTATCATCCCCATGCTCTGTGCTCGCGAGCCAAAAAAAAAAAACCAAAAAAAAACCCTCCCAGAGCAGCGGCCGCGATCTGCTCCACACCTTTCTGCGCGTGCGAGCGATCTGCGCGCCCTGTGGTATCGGCCCTTCTCGAAGAATAATTTTGACATTTCCCTTCGCCCTGAGGCGTACCTGGATGGGCCCTTTTGCGTTTACACAGTCCATTGGGGAGGTTTCGTTCTGGTAGGGCAGGACCGGCTGACACACGGGCCGGGTGCGTTATGCATGCTCACCGCTTCATCTTGACTTTTTGAATCTCGCGAAGAGACTTGGAGGAGCCTCTTTTCTGGTGGAAAGTGATATCTTATTGGGTTCTGGTAAATGATGGATCAGTAATCTTGAAATAGTCGTCGTAGCACAGCGTGATGGTCTTGATGCATACTTCGGTAATGATGTTGTTTAATTCGTTCTGGGATTTTACGAAGGGGGGATGGACGCCATACGATCGCCGGCTGGAAGAGCTGGGGAGAAAGGATAGTATATTCGTAGATTGAACTATATGCGTATATGCGATTTGAAACATACAACAGGAGAAGGGCAAGGAGACGGCCCTCATCAGCTAAGGAGGTGGAGGGGGCCTATCCATGATCCAGTATCCCATCCGCATTCCGGATGCTAGATCATCAATGGTGCGGCAACCTGGGTTCCAGTGATCGTCACTGTTTCCAAATGGCCACATGGCGACGAAGAGGACCTCGTTGATTGGGCATGGGCGGGTCCTCTTCCAATCTGCCCACCCGAGCTTCTCTACCATATTGCGCGTCATGGCTTTACTCAACTCAACGACCCGTCGCATCTCATCACTGTCAGACTGTCTGTCGATGTAGAACGCGGTGCTCTCCGTCCTTCCTGATGCTTGCAGAAGCATAGAACGCATGATGAACATGGTCGAGCAAATTCCCTCCATGATACTGCTTATTGCGGTGTGAATCAGCTCGTCTGACACACTCCATTCGCGACGAGATGCATAGCTCCGGTGCAAGTAATGCTGAGTGCAGCGGTGAACGGCAGCCATCGTCTCGTTGGCTTTGTTGTATGCACCTCCAGTCTCAGAGTCATCGTCTTCCGGCGCATTGATGTAGCCGAGAGCCACCCCCTCCAATTCTTGGATGAAGTGGTCAGTGGAAATGTCTTCTGTGGCCATATGGGCGATGCGGTCAGCATATCGATTCACAATCAAGTCAACCACAGCACCCTGCCAATCTATAGTGAAGCGACGAGGCTCTTTAGCCACTTGAGCCAGGTGATGCTTTATGTCCACCAGCTCTTCAAGGGACGCTGCACCGAGTCTTTCCAAATCAGGTCTTCCGGGGATGGTGCTGGAGATGTTGATGGGGAAGAAGAAGCCTGACACCATGGACGAGAAATCGATGCGGACACGATCATTTGAGATGCCGTCGTATCGTTCCCCTGCGGCTCTTACCCATTGCCAGAGGACCAAGCTCCAGTCGCCCATCTTATCCTCCTGGAAAAAGGTGCGGGTGGAGGAAAGAAGATCCAACCCCTGGGAA